GATATGAAGGATTGAATTTATTGAAGCAAACTGGTTCCGCATGTTGAGTAAATTATTAAGAAATTTACACATTTTATTTCAAAAGAAATGTGAAAAATTTTAAAATATTTATGCTACTAAGGTTTAGTGGAACCAGAAGACATGACTTTGTTTTGTAAATTCATCACTTCATTTTCAGAATGCATAAACAACTCCTCCCATGATGAGTGCAGACACATTTAAATTTGTAGGTGTTAAATTTTAAAGTAAAGACGTAGCATTTGTAGCTTTAAAATGTGACAAAATAAAAGTAACAATTTAAAAACATGCTTGGTAAAATTACAAATCTACAAAGTAAATTTACTATAAACCTCTGTATTTTTAATCTAAAATACATCTAATAATACTATAATAATGCTTTAAGATAACATATTTTCTCCAATGTTTTAAAAAAGCTAATTATTTCAGTAAAATCAAAAAGGAAGCACGTACACTTACCAGTACAGGAAATAGTTAACTGCTTTTGACACTCTGCCTTGACTCTGTGGCACTGACCGATGATGTAATTGTGCTCGTCACAGCGGACATGGTGGTAAGTGGTTCTGGGCAGAACAGGTGAACTTTTCAAAAGTCCACTGATGGCGTTTCCACAGTTCAGCTGCTGGCAAATCCTGTGTGAATATTCCAGCTTCCACTGACTGTCGCACACTCTGACATCATCTATCGACACTACTCCGGCACAATTCCCGCTAAGAGTGACAATGGGCTCAGCTAAGAAGCAATAAAATAAAGAAGAAAATGATCATCATAAAGATTAAGAAGCAGTCAGGAGAGGGAAAAATGTTATCTGTAATTGAAAAAAAACTGCAGTTGTGGAATAATTGTTGTTTTACATTAGTTAGGTTCATTTTTGAGGTTTGGTTCAGTGAAGCTTAATGATTTAAAGAGTCAGGTTTTCTCTTTCACCCTAAATCTGGCATCTTTTTGTGCTAATGAGCTTCCATTGATGATGTGGTTGCCATAAAAACAAAATCATTACAAAATTATCAACTTGCAGGAAGAGGTTGATTTATCTAATAWATTTTCACCTAAGGCAAATCAAAAAATCTCAAATTTTTAATTTGTTCATTTGACAAAATGTGTTACAGAA